TCCCCAGTGTCGCTTAGTACTAACACACTGCTCTTACCTGTTTTGCTCTTCTGTTCTCTTCCAATGGGGCTTTTCCTGCTAATAACAGCTGCATGTGTGGGTTGCATGTGAATGCTATCAGTAGCCTCCCGCTGACCTATTTTAATCATAGCCATCTGATGGCAGAGATGTGGATAAAGGCAAAGAATATTCCACAGTGACCACCGAGATTATTTTTTTAATCAAATCAGTTTGTGCGCTTGTAATTTTTAAGCGCCTTTCATTAATCTTTGCTGTTCTTGCGATTTCTCTGGTGACATACTAATTTTGTATAAGCATAGGATTAGATAGCGTTCAAGTGTGTAGTTTTGTAACCTTTTTTCCCTTCTTATTTAATTCAAGCAACGCACCACCTATCAGAGCTCACTGTCCTCGAACTGCGGATCTGCGTACACGTCTGACTGGTAGCACATTAGCAAGGGCAACAATCCTTACAAAACAGCGTTGTGTTGAGATCAGGAAACAGCCCCTGGAGCTAGCATCTGGCATCACTACCTAAGGCTCTGTTATATTTGATTTGCCAAATAAGAATTCATATGTGCTTTTTTATGTATGAGATGGAAATATATGGTCAAAATGAATATTACATTAGTCGTCTTTTCATGCACACAATACCTAGCAACATAATGTTGGGTTCAATGGAGCAGAGGAAATGCTGAAACAGGACAGAGCCTATTAGTTTAGCCAGTCGTTTATCTTTTATCCATATAGCCATGACAGGCTTGTCTGAGGCAGCTCGTACTCAATGCATTTACATGACCTATTGCATGCAGTGTCATTTAACGCTGCGGTCGAGATGCAGATTCTACTTGAACTAGTGTTCTTAAACCTTAATGTGAATATATGCATAATAGCTTTTGCATTACGATAGTTTTTCTTTTTTCAAGGCTGCAGTATTTAAATTTAAATTAGAAAATATCCGTCCCAAAATGGCTGTTGTTTTTTCTAATCCATTACTTTGAGGAGCAGTCAGAATGGGTTTTAGGGGTTGTTCTGTTGAACCCATATGTTAAATGTGTTTTTGGGCCAAAGGAATAAATCCCTAATGTGGGTTTGAATATAAAACACCAGACTCCTGCATATTAAAGATTATACTTTGAGATATTCACAATATTCATCTTCACATGCAGCATCTCTCAAAACAGCCCATTTTGTCATTTTAATCTAGTGTCACTGTGGATTAATTATAATCCAAATTGCATTTTCCATGCAAATGTCTTAATCTGGATCAACTCCAGATTACTTTGTGCTCTGTTTAGATGTATCATGGAAGCATGTCAGTGTGTTGGCTTTAGGGTAAAAGGACAATTCAGCAAACACAAGCAAAGATGAAAATTAGCTGTCATTATTGCTAAGAACATTTTCTGCATACCTGCTGTAAATTAGCAGGGAAATTAAATATTGTTTTTAAATCAGCTCCTTATGAGATTTAAAATAATGCAGCTGATTTAAATAAAATGCAAGACAGATCAAATTCTGCATATTTACCATTAGCATTTGCATGTTTCCAGCTCTGAAATGAGCATTTATTCAATTTCTGCCTTTCCAGATATTTGATTATAATAAATTAAAAGTATTTGCATATTTCATTGAAGCCCTACAGCTATGATTTCTGTTACTGACTTAATCAATTCAGAGAGTCCTGTAGGATTTGCCAAATATGACATTCGTCGGTTTACGCCTCGTCTGAAGTGCGATGGCAAAGCTGATGGACTCAGATAATTTTTTGCGAGAGCACAGAGAAAGTGGGGCTGCACTGTGCAAGCTGAGAATTTAGAGTGTGGTATTCAAATGCTATCTGCTGAACTGTAGGTTACACTAATGCGTAACCTTAACCTCTTGTCCTTGTAAATCACTAAAGTTCTCGGAGCGTCCCTGGGTCCTGCTTTATTTATTGCCCTGTCACCTCAGCCAGACTGGCTGGACTGAAGACCAGTAAATTGAATAGTAAATTTATGATGCCTTAATCAAGCAAGTCCTGTGTAATTGGCATTTGCAGGGGAAAGATATTTTGAAATAAAATAGTTTGTCATATACAAGCGCACAGTACTATTTTGCAGAGCTTTCAAAGTGAGGCTGTGCTGTTTTTGTTAATATGAAATTTTAGTCGTGTTAGGTTGCGCTTTGAGATATAAAATGGAGAAAACAAACATTGAAAATTAGCAGGACTAAAAATGACCTCTCTCTTAGTGAGGAACATCAGATAGATAACATTAGCATGGTTTTTGTTGTTTTTTCTTTTCAGTTTGGTTGAATTATCAGAGGTGTTTAAAGAAGCCTTGCGTAGGTTGCATAATTGTAAAAATCCCATTGACAGTTGTAAATAAAGATGGGTGGCTAGTCTGCTGCTCTGGTCCCTGTAATGCAAACAGCTTGACTGTCATAAATCACTGTTTGATTTATCTAATCAAGCAAGGTCCTGCTTCTCAAAGACATTTGTCATTCGGATGAGATGGGAGCTGTGGTGTCACAATTATTTTCTCTATTGCTTCAATGCACTGTGTTTCTGTAGACAAAGAAAAAGGCATTCTCATTTAGTGTGAGGTACAGACTACACAAAGAGTCTAGCCATTGAGTCTTGACACAATATTACATGAACATAAAGACTATTGTGTGTAGATATGATAAAATACACACACACGCACACACACACACACACACACACACATATATATATATATATATATATATATATGAACCATCTCGAGGATGATCAGAAGAAATGGACAGCACCTGAGTTAAATATATGAGTGTCACAGGAAAGGGTCTGAATACTTAGGACCATGTGATATTTCAGTTTTTCTTTTTTAATAAATCTGCAAAAATGTCAACAATTCTGTGTTTTTCTGTCAATATGGGGTGCTGTGTGTACATTAATGAGGAAAAAAAATTAACTTAAATGATTTTAGCAAATGGCTGCAATATAACAAAGAGTGAAAAATTTAAAGGGGTCTGAATACTTTCCGTACCCACTGTATATATATATATATATATATGCCATCTTTATAATTTTTTAATTGTTAATTTAACTGACAACTCTGCAAAGCCTTATGCACAGCAAAGGCATTTCATACTTTTTCTTTCCTCATTTTCTGTCCCTATTTCTTTTCTGACAGTCTAGTGTGTCCATCTGCAAAGGACTTTAAATGTGTTGATTTTAGGACTTTAAGAGTGTTGATTAAGAAAATAAATCATATAGATGGATCCTCATGTAAAGCAGATTAGCCCCCAGACCATACATTTACATTCAATATGATGGCAATCAATGGAAGGGGCATTGCATTGTGAAATGTATTTGCACCCGCTTGTCCAGGAGTCGCCTCCTCACCCGGGAAATAATTTAGTCTGGGGACTGCTACAGCAGGAAAGCGGTCACTTCAGCAGGAGAAAGAAAATGACAATCCACCCAAGAGGCCCAAATCAGCTGAAGAGAGGACGCTGTCCAGTGAGCAGGTTAGTTACTTTGATCTGTTTGCAAAAATGGGGCTTAATAACAAGACTGAGCCATCTTTGTGTATAAATTCATGGATTAGATTATATTCATTCACTTTTTTTTTTCAATTATATTAAAAAGCACTGTCTGAGTGGTACAGGACTTAATGAACCATTTCTGAAAGGGCTATATTAAAACAAGCAGTGAGAAGTTTAAACTTACTTCATGCAATGAGAACCAGGCATAGTCTGAAATAACATACTTTGTAATTTTCTGATTAGAAATTCCAGACATTCATGTTAGTTCATTTACTTATTTACTTCATTAGGTTTTTAATTAAGTTACATGAACTGAAAACTAAAGTGAATTGGAGGAAATTTGATTTTATAGACATTTGGGGTCTTGTTTTGTTTGGAATTTGATTTCCTTAAGGCATCATGTAGCAGTGTAATTCATATATAGTCATATAGAGCAGTGCTGTAATGCATGGCAATGCTATGATGAACTCTGTCTTTTCAGGTGCAGCAGTGCCCATACTGTAATTACAGTAACAAGGATGCAAACCGTTTACAGCTGCACATCATGTCCCAGCATTCCATACAGCCGGTCATCAGCTGCCCCTTGTGTCAGGATATCCTCAGCAACAAGATTCATTTACAGCTGCATCTCACCCACCTCCATAGCGTGGCTCCAGACTGTGTGGAGAAGTTAATCATGACAGTATGTGCAGCATTCATTTCCTTTAAATACAAAAAAAACTAAACTGTCAGCCTTACTAACTAGATCATACTCTGGCAGGGCTGGCAGGGAATAACTTGAATAAGCATTTCCCAGGCCTAGCGTATTCTCCAAAGAATGTTATAAACTTGAAAGTTCTCCTCCTATAAAATAAAAAAAGAGCAGTTTTGAAAAAGATCTTTTGAAAGTCCCTATATCTCTAATTGATTTAAAGCTTAAAATTTTGAATAAATCTATTATTTTGGTAAATATTTGTGTTTATTGTTTATCTTATGTTTATAGAAATCTGTTAACCCTCTGGGGTCCGAGGGTGTTTTGGGGCCTGGAAAAGTTTTGACATGCCCTGACATTTGTGCTTTTTTCAGTTGCTTACAAACATTTGAATGTCTAAAGTTTAATAACACTGTAATCAGCACAAACTGGGCTACAATAATATGTGAGCAGCATGTATTTACGTGTCTGTGTTTTTGAGAAAACAACGTTTATGCGTGCTTAGTGAAAAACTACAATTTTAAAGTCACTGAAATAAGGCCATAAAACACATACAGAACATTTGATCACAAGACTTTTGAGAACTTGATTTTGAAGTCTTGAGTTTTTGCTTCAAAATTATGTGAAAATCATCTTACTCACTCATTCACAGAAGTGAGAAGACAAAGGCCTGCATAATGAGCTGCATAATGAGCTGTCAGGTGTGTGACTGAGAGGGAATTGCTACAAGAAAGAATGTGAGGAAAAAAAAATAATTTATATATTTTTTGTTTGTAGTTTATTTAGAATACATATAACTATCACATAAAATAACTCATGGGAGTGTGTGCATCACATGGTCTTAGCTGTGGTCCAGGTTCTTGTGCAGGCAGGAATCCCCATTTCCATGACCAAGTGGGCTGCTTTGCTTTGGCTCTCTTTGCAACAGGTTCTTTTACACTGTTATTCTCACATCTGAAATAAAAAAGCAAGCATGCTGTTTACACAAACTACATTATTAACATTATTATGATGTTCACTGATACTAGTACTAATTTATCGAAACAAAGAACACAATTACCACATAGCAAACATAGTTTACCATACAGCAAATAAATCAAATGAAAGTAACATCTGTAAAATAGTGAATGCACACTTACTCTAAGATTCTGAATGGAGTTGAAAACTGAACGAGCATCCCCTTACTGTGAGAGATGCAGGTGAATGCAAGAGTGGTGTATTCAGTCCTAAAATAATTTTATAAAAAATTGTAAGCATTTTTTCCCACAGTACCTTAGTATAGTATGCATACTTCATGAGAAAACAGAATGCCAATAACAAAGAAACTACATTTTAACACTATCAACCACAAATAATATTACCATATAGTCTAGGCATAATAAAAGTACAATTACTATACTGTACACTTACTCAGTATGATTTTCCAGCGAACTCAAAACTGAACGACACATGTGCCTTTCTTGTGCAATTATGCCAGTGATGCAGACACAGTCCTAAACGAAAACTGAAACAGTTGTTAGCAATTACCAGAAGATGCATAGCTGATAAATAAATTGCATCACTGATAAGAAAGGACGCGCGTATATGTCTGTCGATGCATCACTTATTTTGCAAAAAGTTCCGCCGCCGGAACTGTCGACCCCAGGAGGTTAAGGGACTGATGTATTTTTTTTTCTTCAGGTTGCAGGCCCAGATGTTACAGTGCCCAATTCCTTGCTGTCTGCATCATTACAAGACAAAGTCCCATCTTTGTTGGATTCTTCAGCTGTTATCCCTGAGGGATCCGGAAAACCCATGGGTAAGCACATTTATGTAGCCACAGTGTCATCTGAAATGTATGAATGGCATTACAGAATATTCCTTAGAAAAGTTATAATAGTAGTCTTTTATAATGAAATGTTTTTGGAAGAATTCTGAAATCTTTCCTTTTTCTGAATTTCAACAGGAAACGGCTCTAAGGATTTGAAAAACAGTACAGGCCAAGACAAAAGTGAGGTTGAACTTGCCAATGAGGAACTCAAACCACCAAAGGAGGCTGCTGAGGCCCCTGACTGGAAGAAAGCGAGTGGTCAAGACAGGAAGAGCCCAGACTCCCTGCAGGAGCATCTTAGCGATCTGCAGAAGCGGCAGCAGCTCTCAGTCTCTGATCGCCACGTCTACAAATACCGCTGCAACCATTGCAGCCTGGCTTTCAAGACTATGCAGAAGCTTGAGATACATTCCCAGTACCATGCCATCCGTGCAGCCACCATGTGCAGTCTGTGCCAGCGCAGCTTCAGGACATTCCTTGCCCTCCGAAAGCATTTGGAGACTGGTCACCCTGAGCTGAGTGAAGCCGAAGTACAGCAACTCTGTGGAAACCTGCCCCTAAATGGTGACATTGCTGAAAGTGAGATGTGGGCTCTGGAAGAGGCACAAGTCTTTGAGAATGAGCTAGACAAAGATGAGGAACTTGACCAAGAAGGGAAGGCCAGTCCGACTGGAAGTGACAGCAGCTCCTTGCTTGATGACATGGGCTCAGAACCAAAGCGGACCTTGCCTTTTAGGAAAGGTCCAAATTTCACCATGGAAAAGTTTTTAGACCCCTCACGTCCATACAAATGCACAGTATGCAAGGAGTCATTCACCCAAAAAAGCATTCTCCTTGTTCACTACAATTCTGTCTCACATTTGCATAAGCTAAAGAAAGTTATCCAAGAGGCCTCAAGCCCAGTTCCCCAGGAGACCATCAACAATGTTGACAACAAACCATACAAATGCAATATATGTAATGTTGCTTATAGCCAAAGCTCAACCCTGGAGATTCACATGAGGTCTGTACTTCATCAGACAAAAGCACGAACCGCCAAAATGGAGAGTAGTACTAGTTCTGGGGGTGGTAGCAGCAGAAGTACTACATCTAAAAGCCCTGTTCCACTAAATCAGGGAAATGCAGATTCTGCAAATGCACCAGTATCCTCTAACAAAGAAAACACTGTAGATGCCAAAGAAGTTACCACGAAACAAACTACTGATCACATCTCTGTGCAGCCTACCCACCCACCAACCCAGTCACCAGCACAGCTTCAGATGCAACTGCAGCACGAGCTCCAGCAGCAAGCTGCATTCTTTCAGCCACAGTTTCTGAACCCAGCTTTTTTCCCACATTTCCCAATGACACCAGAGGCCCTACTGCAATTCCAGCAGCCCCAGTTCCTCTTCCCATTCTACATCCCTGGTGCTGAATTTAACATCAGCCCTGAGCTTGCATTGCATTCAGCTGCATTTGGGATGCCTGGTATGACTGGATCATTCCTAGAAGATCTGAAGCAGCAGATGCAGCAACAACATCAGCTGGGCCAACAGCAACAGCTTCAGCTTTCTCAGCAGCAAGCTCAGCAGCAGGCCTCCCAGTCTCAAATGCAGCAGCAGAAAGCACAGCAGCAGAGTCACAAGCCTAAAATTGAGTCCAACCACATTGTTCTGTCTGAGATTCAAATGTCCAGAGATGCTGAAGAGCACCTAGAAAAGCAGGAGAGCAAAGCAAAGCAGGATATAGCTAATGATATTGACAGTGCAAAAGACACTAAAGATTCCAGAAAGCCTAAATTTTCAGAACCTCTAATTCCTCCGCCACGCATCATCTCAGGAGCTAGAGGTAATGCTGCTAAAGCACTGCTAGAGAACTTTGGCTTTGAATTGGTTATTCAGTACAATGAGAATAGACAGAAAACCCAGAAAAAGAATAGAGAGGAAGAGTTGACTGACAAACTGGAGTGTGGGCTGTGTGGAAAGTTCTTCTCCAACATGCTTATTCTCAAAAGCCATCAGGAACACGTGCATGGGCAGTTCTTTCCATATGTGGAGCTGGAGAAGTTTGCACAGCAGTACAGGGAGGCATATGACAAGCTGTATCCCATAAACCCAGCATCTCCAGAAACACCTCCACCACCCCCTCCTCCTCCTCCTGCCCCAGTGACTGCTGTCCCTGCCACTACATCTGTAGGAAAATCGCAGACACCATCTCCTTCACCTCTACAAACTCCTCAGCAAGCGCCACCACCACCTCCTCCACCACCCACTGCACCTCCTCAAGTGCAGCTCCCTGTTTCTCTTGACCTGCCAATTTTCCCATCACTGATGATGCAATCGGTGCAGCACCCTGGGCTACCCCCACAGCTTGCGCTGCAACTTCCAACAATGGACTCTTTATCTTCTGACCTCACACAGTTATGTCAACAACAACTGGGACTGGATCCAAACTTCCTGCGGCAGTCTCAGTTCAAGCGTCCTCGCACCAGAATCACAGACGATCAGCTACAAATCCTCCGTGCTCATTTTGACATCAATAATTCACCCAACGAAGAACAGATTCAAGAAATGGCAGAAAAATCTGGCCTTCCACAGAAAGTCATAAAGCACTGGTTCCGCAATACACTCTTCAAAGAACGTCAAAGAAGCAAAGATTCCCCTTACAATTTTAACATTCCACCCATGACTACACTGGAAGATATCAGACTTGACTCCCAAGTGAACATGCTAGAGTACTACAGAACTGATGCTACGATGAACAAAAGGTCATCAAGAACACGTTTCACAGATTATCAACTGCGAGTATTCCAAGATTTCTTTGATACCAATGCTTACCCCAAGGATGATGAAATTGAGCAGCTCTCAACGGTACTCAACCTGCCAACGCGAGTGATTGTGGTGTGGTTCCAAAATGCCCGTCAGAAGGCCCGCAAGAGCTATGAGAACCAAACAGATACAAAAGACAGTGAAAAGAAAGAACTAACAAATGAACGATACATTAGGACCAACAACATGCAGTACCAATGTAAGAAATGCAGTGTCATTTTCCCCCGAATTTTTGACCTCATTACTCACCAGAAGAAGCAATGCTACAAAGATGAGGATGATGAAGCTGGAGATGAAAATCACTCAGAGGAATTCACAGAGAACAATGAGCAAAGTTCAGCAAAGCCAACAGAGCCAGCAAAAAACTATCTTGTAACAGCAAGCAGCTCTGGTTCCAGCTCTCCCTTGATGCCTTCACCTCGACCTGATGTAGGGAAATCCTCACCCAAACCTGAGCTCCTCCATGAAAAACCAAAATTGGGAGAGATTGCCCCTTTACAAACCCTCAAGAACCTAAATGAGTTAAAATCTTCCAAGGCTTCAACCCCACAGCCTCAACCACAAAAATTACCTCAACCACAAATGTCAAGACCCCATTCCCAACCCCAGTCTACGACTGTCCCATCAAGTCCTCTTTCAATTGCACTGTCCTCTCTTAACAGTAGCCTACCACCTCAAATGTTACAGTACCACTGCGATATGTGCAAAATCGCTTTCCCAACAGTAGAGCTGTGGCAGGAGCACCAGCACTTGCATTTTCTGGCTGCCCAGAACCAATTCCTACACTCACAGTTTTTAGAAAGGCCTCTGGATATGCCCTATATGATCTTTGATCCAAATAACCCTCTTATGACTGGTCAACTCCTGTCTGGAGCCCTATCCCAGATGCCAACTTCAAGCAACTCTGGCCTTGCTGTGAACTCTAACTCTGTGAAACGTAAATTAGATGAAAAAGAGGATGGATCTCATGAAAAAGATGGTGTTAACAGTGCAGAAGATCAGCACAGAGATAAACGTCTTAGGACTACCATTACTCCAGAGCAACTTGAGATCTTGTATGAAAAATATTTACTTGATTCAAACCCAACAAGAAAGATGTTAGATCATATTGCTCGTGAAGTTGGCCTGAAGAAAAGAGTTGTCCAAGTATGGTTTCAGAACACCCGAGCTAGAGAGAGGAAGGGACAATTTAGAACAGTTGGGCCCTCTCAAACTCACAAAAAGTGTCTCTTCTGCAGAGCACTGTTCAAGGCAAAGTCAGCTCTTGATAGCCACATTCGCTCAAGACACTGGCATGAGGCAAAACAGGCAGGCTTTAGTTTGCCCCCAAGTCCAATGATGCCTCAAGATGAAGGAGGACAAAGTCCCAATAAGTATAATTTTGCTGACTACCTACAGATGCCCACAAAGACTGAGATGAATGACAGTGAGCCTCCAACTTCATCTTCCACTCCAGTTAGATTTTTTGAGATGCCACTAAAAAATTTATTAAGTTTATCATCCGTAAAAACAGAACATATTGATGAACTTGAGGGGCTTAACATAAGTTCTGCAGATGCCTCTTTTGATGTCAACAAAATTGACTTTGATGAGACCTCCTCAATTAACACAGCTGTGAGTGATGCCTCTACTGGAGATGAGACCAATAATGAAGTTGAGAATCTAACAATAAATGGAAGTGAAAAAATGATTGAGAACAAAATGAACCAAGCACAAATCTCTGACTTAAATGAGGATAGAATCCCTTTCAACATGGTTAGCCCATCATTAAGTTTCTCTGGTAAAGACAGTGACTACTTCAATTCCAGAGATGATGAATTCGATGATAATGCAGACAAGAGTGAGACTTCAAGTTTGGCTGATCCAAGTTCACCCAGTCCATTTGGAGGTACCAATCCCTTCAAGTCTGCAAAAGCTGGTGAAGAGAGACCAGGCCACAGACGTTTTAGAACCCAAATGAGCAACCTACAGCTTAAAGTCCTAA